GGAGGCTGAGGCAGGAGAATGGCGTAAACCCAGGAGGCGGAGCTTGCAGTGAGCTGAGATCCGGCCACTGCACTCCAGCCTGGGCGACACAGCAAGACTCCATCTCAAAAAAAAAAAAAAAAAGAAACTATTTTACTGACTCAGATATTATTTTGCCACGTGAATGACTGTTATAAGTGAGTGACTGTTATAAAGGTGGTACCTTGAATTATAGTGGTGTGGACCAAGCAGCTTCACTTCACCAAGCACAAAATAAAACAGTTCATCATCTATTACATTATGCCTGGTCTTAAAAAACACTTAACTCTAATCAATTAGCAACACACAAATCTTCTAATTAATACATACAAAAAGTTGTAGGCTGGGTGTGATGGCTCACACCTATAATCTTAGCATTTTGGGAGGCTGAGGTGGGCGGATCACTTGAAGCCAGGAGTTTGTGACCAGCCTGGCCAACATGGTGAAATCCTGTCTCTAATAAAAATACAAAAATTAGCTGGGCGTGGTGGCACATGCCTGTAATCCCAGCTACTCAGGAGGCAGAGGCCTGACAATCGCTTGAACCCAGGAGGCGGAGGCTGCAGTGAGCCAAGGTCGTGCCACTGCACTCCAGCCTGGGCAACAGAGCAAAACTGTCACAGAAACAAAAACAAAAACAAAACTACCTCATAATCTTGTTGGTGAGGGTTAAATTGATTACATTTATAAGTAATACTTAGAAAAATATCTATTATTATTTCTTCTTCTCTGTTCTATCACTATCACCACCACCCTACAGCTAGCCAAACTTTATTTATTAAAATTTTTTTTTGTCCTCATCATGATACTAATGAGAGCTAACCAATCTTTAATGAGTACTTAAGTGTGGGCCAAGCCCTGTTCTAAGTGCATTACGTACTTTATTTAATTCTCCCAACAACCCAAATAAGGTAGACATTAATATTATCCAATCTTGCTAAGAAATAAGCAGGTATAGAGATGTTAAGTTGCCTGCCCAAAGGAATACAGTGAGTATGTATGGCAAAGACAAACACCCCTCTCGTAGTCCTTTCTATCAAATCCATTTCTCAAGGGGACACAACACTTGGTACCATTAGATTTCTCTGCTCCAGGATTTGCAGGATGGGGACGGATGGGATCAGAGCACTGAAAATGACAGTAAGACTGCTATCTTGCTGCACACAGATAAGAAAACGTATTTCCTCAGGTATTTATACCTCTCTTTCCTTCCTAATTATAAAAAATATACATTCACATTATAAAATGCATAAAATGATTCTGTGAACTTTAAAGGAAACATGGCTTAAAAGTTAGTATGTATAAATTTCCACTTTTTTTTTTTTTTTGAGATGGAGTCTTGCTCTCTTGCCCAGACTGGAGTACTGTGGCACCATCTCGGCTCACTGCAACCTCCACCTGCTGGGTTTAAGCAATTCTTCTGCCTCAGCCTCCCGAGTAGCTGGGATTACATATGTGTGTCACCACGCCCGGCTAAGTTTTGTATTTTTAGTAGAGACAGGGTTTCACTGTGCTGGCCAGGCTGGTCTCGAACTCCCAACCTCAAGTGATCCGCCTGCCTTGGCCTCCCAAGGTGCTGGAATTACAGGCATGAGCCACTGTGCCTGGCCTGAATTTCCACTTTTTAAAAAAACTAATTTGTATCAGATATTTTAAAAAGACAATGTACCTTTTTTTCTGAAGATTTTAGGAAAGTATGAATAGAAAAATAATTTTAAAACTATGAGTTTCTTCACAACAAAAAAGTAGAATGAGATTTTGAACATTTGGAGTGTGACTAGAAATTCTAGAAAGTTAAAAATAATCTATTTTGATGCTTCTATACTCATAATGTAATTGTTGAAATTTGCTACTGTATATTGGAAACCCTGCTGTTGGCAGAGGGCCCTTGTTGAATGTTCTATGAACTATGTTGGATAAGCTTGGTTTACAATAGTATTACAACAGAGGTGAGATTACCCTTTCTGTCCTATCAGCACAAAATAATCGAGTGTGGTGTCTCTTCTGAACTACAATGTAGGTTATTCCAGGTTGATAGTCTTTCTCCAAACTGATGCAGGCTTCTCGAATTGCTAGTAGCTCATAATATAATACCTAGAGAATACAAAATGGAAAGATTCAATATAGTCAGCTATTTGTTTTTATATACTTCAAAGAAGGATAATGATTTAATCTCAGGATTCCTTAATTTCATCGCTCTAAAGCTAATATGCTTCTTGATTCCATTTTAATAATTATCAGAACATGGTCTTAACAAGTAAGGTATACACATTGGTAGCGAACATTTTCAAAAAGACGATCTAAGAAAACACCAAGTTTTGACTTGGGGAACTCTAAAAAGGTTTTTAACTCTAGAACTAGACGCCATATTATAAACACAATATCTGATTTCACCACAGTCTGATGAGATTCTAGGTAACCAACCTGCCTAAACTGCCCTTCTGAAACACCATCCCGATAAAAGATGATACGAGTAGGCTTGAACCGAGTTGACTTATAAAATTGAATAAGAAGTTCCCGGACCATGGAGGCCAAGTCCTGGATGATCTCCTGTCGGGGTCTCTGAACTCTTACTGTGGCACAGTATCTGCTTGGGTGGGCATCCATACTACCTACAACCTAGGTTAGAAAAAGTAAAAATAAATAAATAAATAAAAATAAATGATAATCAAAATTACATGAATTCATTTACATTTTTATTTTACTGTAACCTTACCATTTATCACTGTTTACTTTGAAAGTAATCAAAAATAGTAATTCTGAGTTGGGTATGATGGCATGTGCGTGTAGTTCCAGCTACTCAGGAAGCTGAGGCAGGAGGATCACTTGTACCCAGAAATTTGAGGCCAGCCTGGGCAAAAGAGCAAGACCCCATCTCTCTCTCTCTCTCTCTCTTTTTTTTTTTTGAGACGCAGTCTTGCTCTGTCACCAGCCTGGAGTGCAGTGGTGCGATCTCGGCTCACTGCAACCTCCACCTCCTGGGTTCAAGCGATTCTCCTGCCTCAGCCTCCACAGTAGCTAGGACTATAGGCATGCGCCACCACACCCAGCTAATTTTTGTACTTTTAGTAGAGACAAGGTTTCACCATGTTGGCCAGGATGTCTCGATATCTTGACCTCGTGATCCGCCTGCCTTGGCCTCCCAAAGTGCTGGGATTACAGGTGTGAGCCACTGCGCCCAGCCTACCCCATCTTTTAAAAAAATTAAAAAGAATAGTACTTCCCATTGAAAAACAGAATAAAACACCTAGTATAGGGTAAAAAACTATTTTTCTTATAACTAGGCTGAACTATACATTTAACAACTAGATTCTTTGTGTTGTTGGTAGACTTAAAGATTAGTGAGGAAAGAAAAAGACAAAAAGATGTGTATAAGAGAGTAAGAGAAAGGAAATAAGCAAAAATAAGGACCAATTCAAACCACTGATTTTTCTTCCTATCTCTTCCACTTTAGCAACCTATCTCAGAAGCCATACTTAAGACTTTAGCTTCATCTTAGAACTGTTACGCTTCATACATTTTAAAATCAGAATTTTCCCTCTCGGCCTGAATCTATACAGTCTTACTGAGCTGTATTTGTGTTCTGTATCTGGTCCTCAGAGAAGTTAATCTTGGTTTTGAAACCAGCTATATTAATTTTCTCTCTGTGTCTAATATTGTTATGTCTTTGGAGAAGAGACCTCAAAGCATGAACTTATAACATTATTCTGATCAGCGCCTAGAGCTGGTCACTGCCTCCAGACTGTCTTTCTTCCAGTTAACCTATACCAAAGTCATGCTTCAAAAATGGAACTTTGACCATTTCTTTCCCTTGAAAGGTATCTCGCTACTAAGAATAAATCCAGACCCCTCGGATGGAACAAAATGCCTCATAAAAGTTTCCTAGCTTCATAGCCTGCAGTATACTATGTTCCAATTCCTTATATTTCTCAACATTCCCAAAACACACCAGGTTCTTGCAACTTAAATGTTGTTACTTCGTTATCGTGATAACACCTATTGTACTATGTGGCATTCATTACTTACATTAGTTTCTCACACTACTCTCTAAGTTCTTGGGGATAGAAGCCATATACCGAAAAAGAATCAACCAATAAATTCTATTTACAAGATTTCTGATAACCATAAAAGAAAGTGGGTATTTGGTAGAAATGGATTTAGTAGAAAAAGACAATGACTATCAGAAGTCCAATGGAATTAAAATATGCTTAAACCTTTTGGAAAATGACCCAAAGTAGCAAATCCAAGGAAGTCTTTTGAGTTCCTTTCTTTATCATTTTATCATCTATAAGAACACTTTAATGAATATTAGAGATGACTCAATACAACCACTGAACATTTAAAGAAAATAATTCATGAATAACATTAAAAATACACGGCCGGGCGTGGTGGCTCACGCCTGTAATCCCAGCACTTTGGGAGGCCGAGGTGGGCAGATCACGAGGTCAGGAAATCGAGACTATCCTGGTTAACACGGTGAAACCCTGTCTCTACTAAAATAATATGAAAAATTAGCTGGGCGTGGTGGCGGGCGCCTGAAGTCTCAGCTACTCAGGAGGCTGAGGCAGGAGAATGGTGTGAACCAGGGAGGCGGAGCTTGCAGTGAGCAGAGATTGCGCCACTGCACTCCAGCCTGGGCAACAGAGCAAGACTCTGTCTCAAAAAAAAAAACAAAAAAAAAAACAACAAAAAACAAAGCAAGAGAATAGATAAAAATTAATTTCCTTTATACTAATAAAAATAGCTTTGAAACCTTGAAGTGAAAATTTAAATATTACTATCATTTTCAGGGATGAATTGTATTTATCAGATTCCTAAAACGTACGATTTATGTGAAGACTACAATGGATCATAGAAAAAATATTAAATCTTTTTTTTTGAGACGGGGTCTCCCTCTGTCACCCAGGTAGGTACCTTTAAGGCACCTGCCACCACGTCAGGCTAATTTCGTATTTTTCACAGAGATGTGGTTTCACCATGTTGGTCAGGCTGGTCTCAAACTCCTGACCTCAAGTGATCCACCCGCCTCAGCCTCCCAAAGTGTCGGGATTACAGGCATGAGCCACCGCGCCTGGCCAATTAAATCTTACAGTTTAATTTCTGAAGTTTATTAAATAAGCCTAAAATATGTTCATATTTTCAAAATGTTGGTTATTTGTTAAAATCAAGTGATTTTCAAAATGGGTAAAATATTATCAGGCTTTCTCAAGTTTATAAGAAACACACTTAAACTGACACAAAAAGGTTACAAATAGAGAGCAAATTAAAAATAGGCAGATGCTAAAAGCAGGAGTGGCAATAGTAAAATAAAGAATTTGGCCAGGCGCGGTAGCTCACGCCTGTAATCTAAGCAATTTGGGAGGCAGAGGCGGGTGGACTGACTGAGATCAGGAATTCAAGACAAGCCTGGCCAACATGGTGAAGCTCCGTCTCTACTAAAAAATAAGAAAAATTAGCTGGGCATGGTGGCAGGTGCCTGTACTCCCAGCTACTCGGGAGGCTGAGGCAGGAGAATCGATTGAACCTGGGACACGGAGGTTGCAGTGAGCCGAGATTGTGTCACTGCACTCCAGCCTGGGCAACAAGATAACTCTGTCTGAAAAAAAGAAATAAAATAAAGTAAAATAAAATAAAAGAATTCAGGTGCAAAGTATTGAACTGGATGAAGGTAGAAGACATTTTATATGTTAAAAAATGTAATCCACCAGGCTTATATGTAATGCATCTTTCTATGACAAAGACATTACTGAAATATACAAACTATTCAAAACAACAAAAAGTAACTAAAAATGCATAATCATGGAGAGGTCAAGTAGACAAATTAAAGTATAATACAGAAGATTTGAATGATATAACTAGCAAACTTGATTTAATAGTTACATATGGAACTTGTAAACCCCAAACCAGAGAATAATCACTCTTTTCAAAAACCCAAAGAATATTTATGAAAGTTGCCTACAAAGAAAATATTAAAAGTCAAAAAGTTGAAACTGCAAAATTGATACTGGTCTGTCAACGTCAGGTAAGATAAACCTGGCGAACACTCACAGCAGCAATAGAAGGTTTCTTTCCATCACCAGCAGGTGGATGAGTGACATCGGCTCCCAAAAAGATCACTGGTTGCTGGAACACAGAAGGTCTTCAACACATTTTGAAAAAGGGTTAGATATTTCATTTTTTCATTATCCATTTATCTGTTTCACACAATTGCAACATAACTTCAAGTTATTGACAGCACAGAGGAAGTCCTATGTAATCCAAAGTCTTATTCACAGCAGAATTTTGTCTAAAATAGTGATGCTGGTGGTTGAAAAGGGCTATATTAATATTAACAGATGCTAGTATTCTCCAACATGGGCACAAAATTATAAACTTCCTTATGATCCACAAATTTTTATCACTGTTTAAAAATCAACTTATATTTAAACCTGTGTAATCTCTCAAGGGAAAAAGGAATCATTACACTTTAGACTGGAAGGGGTTTTGGGAATCTACTACTCCCACGCCCTGGCCGAAAGGATAAATTTGAGTAACATATATTCAATGGTCATAAAGTAGCTAGCATTTCCTTTTATTTTACTTTATGTTATTGTTGTTTTTTTGAGACAGGGTCTCACTGTGTTGCCCAGGCTGGAGTGCAGTGGTGTAATCACGGTTCACTGCAGCCTTGACTTCCCCGGGCTCAGGCAATCCTCCCACCACAGCCTCTGGAGTAGCTGGAACGACAGGCACGTGCCACCACACATGGCTAATCTTTCTATTTTTTGTAGAGATGAAGTTTCACCATGTTGGACTTGTTGATAAAATTCTTTATTTATCTCATTTATGGATCTCATCTCATATTGAACAGGGGTAGAAAGTAGAGGTGGCATGGAAAAAGAGGAAAAAAAGGACTTTTGTGTCAAACAAACATGGTCCAATCCTTATTCTAATGTTTATTTGTGGTGGGTAGTTAACTTTTTGGAGGCCTAATTGCTTCAACTATTAAAAGGGAACTTGTTCAATTCTCTGAAAAGTGGCCTCTTCCTCAGAGACTTGCACAATAAGCTACCTTCTGTTTCTAGGTCGTGGTGTCTCACACTTCCTAAGAGTTCTAGCTCGAAGAAGGGTGATCGAACAGTAATATGCTTTCTCACTGACTACAGCAGGAGGGCTGATATGGCTTACTTAATTGACTAATCTGGGCCCCCAGGTCCTTCTGTCCTTCACATTCCAGGTAAGTGAGCAGCCTCATGAAACCAGATTGAAGATGATTACCAAATAAAGTGAAAATTCTTCAAGCTGGGCTCTCCAGTGAGAAATCAATCTCTGGATACTTTCTGGCTAGGTAAGAGGTACTTTGCATACTAAATGAAAATTGCTGGGGCTCGAGCCTGCTCCCACCCTGTGGAGTGTACTTTCATTTCCAATAAATCTCTGCTTTTGTTGCTTCATTCTTTGCTTAAAAAATAAAACAAAGGGCCGGGTGCGATGGCTCACGCCTGTAATCCCAGCACTTTGGGAGGCCGAGGTGGGCGGATCACGAGGAGACCATCCTGGCTAACATGGTGAAACCCCGTCTCTACTAAAAATGCAAAAAATTAGCCGGGCGTGGTGGCAGGTGCCTGTAGTCCCAGCTACTTGGGAGGCTGAGGCAGGAGAATGGCGGGAACCCGGGAGGCAGAGCTTGCAGTGAGCTGAGATCGCGCCACTGCACTCCAGCCTGGGCGACTGAGCAAGACTCTGTCTCAAAAAAATAAATAAATAAAAAATAAAACAAAATTGTGGGGGGCATTTTCACAAGAGAATCTCTGACCCTTGCCAATCCAGATTATTTTAATTTTTTACCAAAATGCCTATGAATCTCCCACGGTAGGAATTATTAAGGGGGTCTCTTACACAGCTCTTATAGTAGTTAGATATGGTCATATGTAGACAAATGAAGATATAAAAAATAATATTTTCATAAGTGATTAGCATATCTTACCTTTGATGAGGTACAAGAATATTATTGATTCCTCCGAGTTTAACATTTATCTTTAGGCACAAGTTTGAGAGAGTTTGAGGAGATGTTTTTATTACATTCTTGACTTGAACACATTGTGTGGCCATACCCAAAAGTGTGTCTCCTACACGTTTCACTTCCGCTACGGAACAGATGCAAAACCTCTAGTCAGAAAAAAAGACCTGAAAACAATTTTACATACTGAAAATAAAGCTACTATGTTTCCCCCTTAAAATACATCATTGTATTACAGGATACCAAAAATTATGCCAATACAGTACTAAGGTGATGCTGTTAAAATTGAAATTATACTGCTTTGAAGATCAGCTTAAGTATTTAGTGACAATTTTTCTAGTTGTTTTCTTCTTTGTATAAAAGGTATATTATCATAGTATAACCGCAATAACTGAAAAGCATAAAATGAAACATGTACATATTCCCTTGTTATCATTTTATAGTACTCTCTTCCAATAATTTTCTCATTTATATCATTTTAATGTACTTGTAATCACAGAACACTTACAGCTTTCAATCCTATTCTCTCATCTTCAATTTAAAAATTCAGAGGTATTACAGCACAAAGAATAAAAGTCCCCTGTTCCTTTCCCCTCTCTGCCATTATAACCATCATAAATATTTCGGTGTGTGTAACCTTTTTTTTTTCTTTTTTTTGGAGAGGATCTCATCACTCTGTCACCCAGGCTGGAGTGCAGTGGCACGATCACGGATCACTGCAGTCTCAACCACTTGAGCTAAAGCGATCCTCTTGCCTCAGCCTCCCGAGTGGCTAGAACTACAGGCATGCACCACACCAAGCCTTTTTTTTTTTAAGTAGAGATGAGGTCTCACCATGTTGCCCAGGCTGGTCTCAAACTTCTGAGCTCAAGTGATCCTCCTGCCCCAGCCTCCCAAAGTGTTGGGATTACAGGCAAGAGCCACTGCACCCAGCCATAACTTTTTTCTTTTGAGATGGAGTCTCATTCTGTCACCCAGGCTAGAGTGCAGTGGCGTGATCTCAGCTCACTGCAACCTCTGCCTCCCAGGTTCAAGCAATTCTCCTGCCTCAGCCTCCCGAGTAGCTGGGATTACCGGTGTGTGCCACCTCGCCCAGCTAATTTCTGTATTTTTATTTATTTTTTATTTTTTTTGAGACTGAGTTTCGCTCTTGTTGCCTAGGCCTGGAGTGCGATGGCGCAATCTCGGCTCACTGCAACCTTCACCTTCTGGGTTCAAGCGATTCTCCTGCCTCAGCCTCCTGAAGTAGCTGGGATCACAGGCATCTGCCACCATGCCCTAATTTTTTTTTTTTTTTTTT